ATCAACGAGAGCCTCACATTCGTGGAAGAACCTGTAGAAATCATGGACCGAGAGGTCAATCAAACAAAGCAAAGTCGTATCCCGATTGTGAAGGTTTGCTGGAACGCCAAGCGAGGACCTGAATTCACTTGGGAGCACGAGGATCAAATGAAACTGAAATATCCTCATCTTTTCGTTTAGTTATTTGTAATAGCTTATTTGATTAAACTCTAATTTCAGGACGAAATTGTCTCTAACGGGGAGATGATGTGGCAACCCGAAATTTCTATCTTGTATAACTCTTAAACTCAATCAAAGTCTATCTCATTTCTGCTATCTTCTAGCACAATTTTGAGTCTGTTTGAGCATTTTGAGCCTAAGTACACCAAAGGAATGAGTGAAAGGAAGTGTCAATTGAAGTTGTGACCTAACAAACAAGCTTTAATCTTCATCATGTGGAGTTTACGGCCACACCATTTGAGTTTACAGCCGTAAACACATGGTGGCCGTAAACTCACGTTAGATACATGATATTCCATCATTTCTTCCTCATTCTTCATCTTTTCAAGGCAAGAATTCGATTTTCTCTCAACTATCATCAAGGATCATCATTTTTCTCCCAAAAATGTAACTGCTTCCATCCCTTGATTAGTGATACATCTTCTTAACTAGCTTAACCCCTTTGATTCCATCCATTAACATCATCTTTTGGGTTAGATCTTCAAGATCACCAAGAACACCAAGAACATACTAGTGTTTTTGGACCTTAATCACCCTATCAAGCTTCTATATCGTAAGTACACTACCCTTAGCTTGTTATATACTTGAATCACATGTTAAACAACTTGAAAACACCAAGAATTCAAGAACAAAAGGGTGTTTACGGCCAAGGCAATCTCCTTTGGCCGTAAACCCTAATTAGTGGTGCAATGGTGCCACTACTCCTTCCTAAGCCTTGGACTTGAGTCTAGAACAATTCAAGGAAGACCATAGGACCTTAACACACAAAATGGTACAAGATACCATGAGTTTATGGCCGTAAAATCATTGTGCAGTAAACCCATGGGCCGTAAACTCATGGGGGTATTACCATTCGGGCTGTAAACTCCTATGTGAGGCCCTACACCCCTTAGATGCAACCCTTTGTACTTCTAGCACTTCAATCAAAGTGTTTTCCATGTTCTAGGGTGTCTTTACTTGTATAATTTGTTGTTTAAACACTGATTGTAAACATATATGTATCATTATGTGATAAATAGGATCCGTGTGTGTGCTCAAGTCTTCACTTGACACCTAGCATCCCATACCACACTTTCATCCAAACCACTCACTACAGGTGAGTTCATACCCCTTAACTTATCTTTTAAATGATTTTAAATGCTTTTATGGGGGGGGGGAATACAAGTTGAACTATTATAGTTATTATATCAATCACATGTGATTAATAACTATCAAACATATGGATTTTCTTACATTTCAAACTGTTTTTATAAAATCAAACTGCTTCAAATTGTTTTATAAACTCTTTTACATGTTAAATACTTTCTATTAAACTCTTTTAAACTTATATTTTGTCAAATGCATATCTATATAGATATAGTTATATAAGTAGGATTGAAAGGACTTAGGACTGATAGCTCGCCTTACTTCCAGTTCCTTGTTTGGTTGTGGACTTAGGGTATCGGTTGTCTGTCCGAAGGTCGTTTGAATCTTAGTTATATATTATGTATATATATAGATATAAAAGGTCCTTCATTCAGTTCAATACCTTTGGGTAGCAAAGGTATACAAATATGTTCATTCATACAAACAACATTGCTAGTAAACTATAATAGGTATCGTTTAGGAAGTTACTAATACTATTACTAGAACTACGAAACATACAAAGAGTCAATTCATACATGACTCAATACATACTATAACGAGAAACAATACTCACTATAAAGAGAAACAGATAGAGCATACTATAATGAGAATCAACACATACTACACACTATACACTAGAGAACATACTACATACTAGACAGAGAGAACATACACTACACTAGTACATACAATACATATAAAAAAACACTATATCATAATGTAAGATACTACTTCGGTGCATAGCATAACTGCTATGGCTCGTTTTGTAAGCAGAATCTCCTGTAGGGAGAGCATGAATTTGCGTATAGATTTATACTGGATTGACTATCCTACACCTTGTCGCTCGCTACAGTACGACTTGCAAGTCTACGGGTGCCAAATCTCATTTCTTCAGACGTTTTTCATCGTCGTGTTTTAGTCAGTTAGTATGGTACAATCATATCACATTTTACCTTAATTAACTAACAAGTTAAAGGTAGTTAGTACATTAGTAGTTACCTAGATAAAACTACAAGTACATCCTTAGTTTCCCATATTCATTCAAATTGTGATCTTCTCACATAAACAGTAATGAAAAACTATATTTTGGTAATGATAGTCATACTTTGGGAAAACGCACATTTTTACAAAAGAACAAACATATAGAACAGTTGAGTCTTGGTAGAAGACTACTTTAGTAGAAAATATAGGATTTTCTAGGAAGTTTACAAACATTCACATCAAAAACTTGCAAACTTTTACATCAAACACTTACAAGTACATTCTTCAAACTTATACAAACATTGACACTAAAATACTTATGAACTCACCAGCTTTAATGCTGATCTACGCTTTCAAAATAACTTGTATTCTCAGGTCGCCAGTAGACAGGTACCGATGGCCAGCTTTTGAGAAGATGGAGCACATTCAAGACTCATCTTTTATTTTGATTATACATTTTGGTGTCTTATAAACTTCAGAACACACTTGTATTAAAATTATTACTATTAATGCAATGGATGATGTTGTTGCTTGTTTACTATTATGCACTGTTGTGATACTGTACATGACGTCCTCCGCCCCCGAACGTTTCCGCCGTTTCGGTTTTGGGGTGTGACATCTATCATGATCATCCAAACCTTGACGACTTCCCCAGAAGGGTCTATCATGGTCGAGCATACTAATCCTTTTCCATCCTACCCCAAGGAATATTGGTGAACAATTTAACACATCCTTCGTATATATATATATATATATATATATATATATATATATATATATATATATATATATATATATATATATATATATATATATATATATATGTATCGATGTAACACATGATCTAGAGTCTTATGGGCTTAACCCTCATAAGTCGCCTACTTGTCTGTTCTTGATGTGACGTAACATCATCTAGCCATTTGATTAATAAGCCCCCGATACACACCATTCTAGCTATCATCCCACCTGATGTTTGTCAAAGGACAAACTCATCCCACTAAAAGGAAGCACCAAGGACCAACTGGGGTTCCACCAATATTTTCTAACCACCATCCATTCCTATTCATGAGATAGGTATGGTCTAACTTTAGTCTCATATCAAATATAATTGCACAGTTGCCAACACAAGGCCACTATATCCGGAATGTAACTCGGACCTCATGAACTTAGGAAAATCTTCATCAGGTGTTGGATGGTGTCTTCAAACCCCAAGACTTTATCAAACAAGAACATATAGGGAGATTCTTCATACAATCCTTGACCCGATCCAAGCCAACTGTCCTTATGCATAAAGCCGACACATCCTTCCATAACCGAAATTTATGCAACACAAGATGATATTAATATCACTAAATTAATTCATAATTAATTTAAGATCAATACTAATTAAATAATATGATTTCATATATTAATATATTATAACTTATAATATATTAATAAGTCATAAACATACTATTCTCATAATATTATCCATATAAAATAGTTCGGGTGAAGTGCAACCCAAATGGACCATGCCGGGTCGGATCAAGTATATACCATATAAGTTATGGACTTAGACACCTTATCCAACAAATAAAACCTGTGAACTCACCAAAAATTATGTTGACTTTCAAACTACATGTATTCTAAGGAGAATGAGCCTGAAAGATGAGGGAGGTAACCCTGATATTATAGCTAGAAGTTTATGTGTTCTGTTTTTGTACATTGCTTTTTTGACAATACTCTATCTCGAATAATTATGTAATATTTTTTTTAATGAATAAAAAGTAACATTATATGGTATTCCGGTATATTATCGAATGTATGTATTTTGTATGAGATCCAACATCACTACATCACACAGCCTGACGTTTCCGCCATTCAGATGGGGGTGTGGCATATTGGTATCAGAGCTTCAGATTATAGACAACTAGTAATTCCTTAGGAAATATAACTATAGTCTAGAGCTACACACTAATTAGGTTTAATGCTTAAGCCTAATACATTAAAAAGTATTATTATTAATTACACTACTTCTCAACAACTTATAGGAGAGTTGACTAGTTTGAACTATCGCTTGGGTTGCTGGATTTTAAAATGGCTATAGGCTAAAATGGTCCTACCCTCCGGTACTTCTCACCTGGCTATCCTTATTTGATAGTCTTGGAGTACAAAATCCCATTAATTAACAAAATACGCATAACCAAACCATGATTTAAAGATAAAGAGAAATATATATACCCTCATATAAAGATATCTACTAACCACAACACGAATCCAGGAAATAAAAACTCGGGATTTTAGGTCAAAAATAGTATTTAGAGTTGGTAATACCACGACGATACCATAACTAGACCTAAAATGCACATCTAAGTTTTATGATGATCCGAATGACGCACGACTGATCTCGGATACGATGGTTGGAAATCTAAATGCTTGAGGACTTCTAGATTTGGATTATTAATTTCAAGGATCTTGCGCTAAAAGATTTCTTTCTAGAGGCTTTCTACGTCTGAGGACTTCTGGCTTAAAGACATCTACACTTGAGGATTCTTGGCTTAGGAACTGTTATTCGTGACTTACAAAATAGTAGATAGACTCAGGAGTACTATTGATGACATACTTATAATTAGATATATGTTGTATATAATTAATCTTCTCATCTCTCATAAAACATATTTCTAGTTTGAGTTCTTATGGAGGTTTTTCGGAGAGTCATAACGGATGATGAATCACAGAGGGCAGCAACCCTTCCAGTGGAGGAGCGATCAATACCTGGTACCACTGACCTCACAGACACTCCAACAATGCTCATGACTTCTGAGGAGGATCCAATGGAGTACAGTGAGGATATGGACGCTGATGGAACCATTGGTTCGGAGCCTTCTGAGCTTGATCACACTCCAACGACCCCATCAGCCCGGACCCTTCCGAAACTGACTTCACACCAGCTGAGCATGAGTACCTAACTTAGATTATGAGCCAGATGACGGCGAGGAGAATATCGCTACCTCCCCAGAGATCTTACTTCCTTTCCCACTCCCTCATACCAATCCTACCGATCACTTCCTAGTGGCACTCGGGTTATAAATACCCCGAGGAAGTCTACGATGATCCCCACTCGAAAGAGACCAGCATCCCCACCGACATCCCCACCTCCAGCAAGAAGCATTGTAGTGACTACGCATGGATGCCTTAAATTAGAGAGTGGAGAAATGATGGGGATATCAGTTTTCATTACGAGGTAGGGAAATCATCTACCACAATAGCCCCTAACCCAGACACTCCGATAGAGCAATCTATCTCCTTCTTGGTACCACGGAACGCCCAACACTCTAATCATTTAGGAGCCATGCACACTAAGTTTTTTCATATGAGGATGACCCTGTTAGAGTTGGGAGAGTGGGTAAAGTACTTAGAGGATGTCACACCCCTTAACCAGGATGGCAGAAATGTCCGATGGCGGATGACGTCATTGTATAGTATCACAACAGTTGTATATAAATGAAGCATAGCAACCCAAAGGACATACATTAAGAATACAAGCTTACATAGTTTACATACTGTGTTTGTTCAAAAGCTACACAACAATGACTGAAAAATAAAATTCCATAATGTAAAACACTTGATCTCGAAAGAACTGAATACATGTTACTAGTTCCATGAGAATACAAGTGGTTTTCAAAAGCTTCAACAATAATGTACGTGATTCATAAGCATTTTTGTACGAAAAAGGGTTTGCAACTGCTTTGTTTAAAATAGTTTTGTATGCTTCCATAAAATACGATATTTTCTATAAATTAGGTTGTTAGTCTATAAATTAAGACTAAAAATGTATGAATGTCCCTTGTATCTCTATCCTTCTGAAGTGAATAAGTATGTATGTTTCCAGAAAATCCAATATTTTCTGATATATGTGCTGTGGTCTTAAACCCTAAGACCAGAAATGTAAACAATAGTGTACTAAAAGGTGGTATGTAGTTATATATATTTTTTTATAAAACTACTGAAGTGTGAGCTTCTCGTAAACCAATATAGTATTTTTAATCCCTATGTGAGTTATTATAACCATGCTGAATGTGACTGTTATGCATGTACGACATTCTTCAGGCGTCAGAATTTGTAGATATTTGTCACCCTAGACTGGCCCGTCAAGCTATAGCAAACAGCTCAGGTGTGGGGTTATCAATCCTTATAGATCTATACATAACTATCTCGCTCTCCCTCCAGGAGACTCTGGTTATAATACAGGACTTAAAATGTACGTTAGGTAGGTATGGTGAAGAGAGTGTCTCGCTAGAGCATTAACAGATTTACATTAACTACGCCTCCCTTTGTCTTGTTTACTGAATTAGTTACATTATTGATGATTTATGACATGTGTTTTATGACCCCCAAACCATAGCATTTATATTTTGACTTATCTACTTTTGTGTAAACTATTTATAGAAACTTTATATAAATAATCAATTGTAATCATGTCTAGTGGTAATATACGTTTTTAAAACATAGTATTCTTGGGTTTAACCCACCAAAATAGTGATGACTAAAAGTATGACCACTTTAACTAGAAAGCTATTTTTAGAAAAAATTACCACAATTTGTAGTTTTGAACTTCTCATACTTTACCGGTTGATATTTGTGTCACAAAATAGTTTATGTTGGTCAACTTCACCATCCAACCTCAAAGGTCACAATTTTTATAAAATCAAATGGTGACTTCGACATTATTATACAAATAATTATACAAATTTTCAAATAGTAAAAATGAGAGATGTAAGTATCAAAAGGGAAAACATATTTTGACTTATAAATATATATGTTTTTGTTATCTTTGTGTGTATCAACCCATAAACACGATTTTTGTGTAATCAAAATGGTGGTAACCACATAGATCATGATTTTTATGTGGTAAGCAAGTAATATGTACTTTTTATACAAGGATTATTCCATATTCAAACAAATAGAAATTATGCATGCAAATGTCCAAAGGACAAACACATTTTGACTTGTAAAACCTTACAAGTAACGATTTTTATGTGTATATACATGATGATTTCAACAACTTATGCCCATATTACTTCATAAACAAGTTGATGCATGCAAATATCCATAGGGTAAACGTATTTTGACTTGTATCCCCCCTAAAAGCATGTAAAACTCGAAAAATAGGGGTATGAAGCTCACCTTAGGTTTGTTTTGTAGATGATTTGAACGAAGAAGATGGTGATTTTCGAGCCTAGCTCGCCCCTTGATTGAATTAGATGATATTTTTGGAAGAGTATCTTTCCTAGGGACTTCACACACGAAAACTATTGGATTAGATGTATAAGCCCATAACTATAATAGCATGGTCGATTTGGGTTGCATTCATCAAAGCAATTTGATAGGATGGATATTTGAGAAAGAGGTTATTTGTGGTTTATTAATATATTATAAGTATGATATATTAAATATGAAATCATATTATTTAATTAGTATCGATGAAGAATTAATTTGAAATTAATTTAGTGATCAAATGAGACTAATTAAATTAACAGGGACTGATTATGTAAATCAGTCATACATATGGATTGGGCTAATGCTTCATGATTGATTTGTTGATGGGCTAAGCTTTTGAGTTAATCCATGAAGTGGTAGTCCAAATCAATTGGATCATAAACCTAAGTGTGTGAATTAGGGTTACATGTGACCCTTAGAATTCTACATTATAAATATGTGCCCTAGTGTCAAAAATCGTGACCCATGCATGAGAAGAAGGCATAACCGATTTTTGAGTCTCCTTAACCTCTTCTATAATCATCCAATTGCTCTTTGTGATTTATGAACCATTTGAGGCATCACAATTGAGGTGCTAAGCTTTCTTAAGGCTAAGTTCTACATGCTACTACACAAGGTAACATTCTAACTAGTTTTATGATTCAAATATCACCTTGCATGCTAGTTTAAGCTTCATGCTTTGGAAAATGTTTATTGCAAGTATAATTAGAGAAAACTTAGATCCAAAGCATTAGGTTGTATGTGAACCATAGGAATGTTAGAGTACATGTCACACCCCAAAACCGGAACGGCGGAAACGTTCTGGGGTGGAGGAGGTCATGTCAAGTATCATAACACATGCAGTATAGTAATCAAAGTACAACAACCATTGCAATAATAGTATAAGTTTTACATAGGTTACATTTAGCAACAACATCAAAGTAGATATAGAAAATAACATAAGATGCAGCTCGGTACAAGGCTGTCTTCACAAAAGCCCTCGGAGTGTACCTGTCTACTGACGACGTGAGAATACAAGTTATTTTGAAAGAGAGTATCAGCATTTTAATGTTGGTGAGTTCATAAGTATTTTAATGACATTGATATAAATACATGTTTTTCCTCAAAATAATCTCAAGATGATGGTGATAAGAGGTTATAAAGTATTTGAATTCCTACCAGAAAATCCTATATTTTCTAATAAAAGTAGTCTTCTACCAAGACCCGACTGTTTTGAGTTTAAAGAAATGAGTTTACCTATTAAAGCAGTCTTCTACCAAGACCCGACCGTTTTGAGTTAAAAGAGTGTTTTTCCCCAAATATTACTATCGTTATCAAAATATAGTTTATACCTAAATGAATATGTGAGAAGTTCACAAGAAAATGTAATAGGGAAGAAAAGCCTTTACTTCACCAATGACATTGCTGTTTATAAAGTAATAAAATATACAGACTCCGGGTAGTATTAAATGACGATACACCCCGGGGAGTCTAAAGTAGTAAAATACAGACTCCATGTAGTATTAAATGGACAATACACCTCAGGGAGTCTAAAGTAGCCTTTAATCCTAAGTAGGTTAGTTTAAAGGTTTAAATATAACCTAGTGTATAACTAGGAAAATATAATACGATGGTTTTATATGTAGAAACTACCGTGAGAATAATTACCTTAAAGCCATGAATTATAAGGTAAATGTAAAGATACTCGTAACCATACTAATTGACGGATGTAAACACGACGACCTGCTGGCGTAGAAAATAAATGTGACATTTGTCACCCCTTGGCTTGGTCGGCCGAGACTGTAGCTAGCAGTCAAGATGTGGGATGGTCTGTCCCGTCTAGATCTATACACACAATGCCTGCTCTCCCTCCAGGAGACTCTGGTTACCAACTTGACAACGGTGAAATCCGCGTCATGAGGATGTATCTCATATTTTTTATTTCTATAAACCTTTCTTTTTACTAAAAGTATAAGTTTTTAGAATATTGATATAGCTAAGTTCTCCTTCATGAAAGTTATGGTTGGTTTCTAACTATACCAATTATAGTTTACTTGAGAAGTTATCTAGGTACCTTTGCTACCCAAAGGTATTGAACTGGAGTAAGAGTTTTAATAACTAACCAGATATACATAATATATAACTAGGACTTCAACGACACTCGGACAATAACCGGATGCTCTAAGTCCACAACCAAACAAGGAACAGGAAATAAAGCGGGCTATCAGTCCTAAGTCCTTCAAACCCTACTTATATAACTATATCTATATAGACATGAATCTAACAAGAATATAAGTCTAAAAGACTTTGATAAAAGCTTAGTAATTTAAAAGAGATTTTAGTATTTTAAAAGAGTTTTGAAAACAAGATTTGAAAACCTTAGTTGGATAAAACAGTTTAACATGCAGAAATCTATTTGCTTGACAGTTATTAATCACATGTGATTGATATAATAACTAATAGTTCAACTTGTATTCCCCCCCCCATAAAAGCATTTAAAATCATTTTAAAGGTTGATTAAAGGGTATGAACTCACCTGTAGTGGGTGATTCGGATGAACGGATGGTATAGGATGCTAAGTGCAAGTGAGGACTTGAACACACACGCGGATCCTATTTAGCATATAATGACACATATATGTATCTAATTAGTCCTTTAACAACTAATTAATTAAGTTAAGACACCCTAATACATGGATAACACCTTGATT